AACGTTCATTAACATCTTTTTCATGAAGGATGCAGTGGGGCATTATTTATGTCACATAACTTTTCTAATTACGTTGATTAGTTGAATGTCGTATCACCATCCCCACATATATTATTACAGTAAGGCTCGAAATCGGTTTTGTACCAAATATAAGCTCCTGTCATGCTCAAATGCCATGAATGGGGTACCGTTGGATTCAGAATTTCACGGAGGGTTAGCGAATCGTATTCTCCACTATTGTTTTTCTTGCTAAAATAAATAAAGTCGATATAAACATTCTGCTAGGTTTCAATACCTGAACGGTGGTAGGTCTGTAGATCGATACGGGACAAATTGGATCTTGAAGATTTTGATGCGTACAGCTCAAAGGATAGTTCCTCCGCGTTTTAAAGCCCAAAAACGTACTATCTTCGTAACGTAACGCAAGGCATAGGGTTCGCATCCACACAACCTTACGTTAATTGTAGTACTGTCATTGAATACATGTCTCATTTCGTCGACTTGAGGTCTCTATGATCGAGAGAGGAGGAGTTTATATTATTTATCGATGGTGTTTTTGATCAGCAAGCCATATCATCGTTAATTTTTCACCAAATCTCAAGATTGAGCCACCAATTCCGAAAGCTTCCTTCTCCTTCAGGCGGGTAAAATAGTCCAATCACCCAGAAAATTCAGGCAAACAAGTTATGAAAGCAAACGAACTTTATTTGCGAATACCTAAAAAATTACACACTTTTTTTATATAATCATTCCCATGATTATATAAAAAATTACTAAATTATCTACAAAAGAAAAAAAATCATTGAAATCGGACAATTTTTAGCAAAGATACAAAGATACAATTTGTAAACATGTTGGTTCCAAACAAAAATGAAGATTTAAATTAATTTTTGTTTCCTTTGTCGATTATATTTATCGATAAAGTTACATTTGATGTCTTTACCTTTTTATACATTGCATTATTTTATTTTCTTATTAATTTGGCATTTGATAAAAATATGTTGTGCAAATTTTTCGCACGGGCCTACTTGTTATAATTAATTGTCTAAACTTTAGGGTGACTGATTATGAATTGGTATCTTATTAATGATAAATTAAATAATCTGTATTGTTAAAACTAGATATAATTACAACTAAGAGCATACTTATAATTTCCTTAGTGGCTTCAATTACAAACATTACTTTTTCTAAAAACAGCTTTTTTTTCATGAGCAAACGTATATTTGAATTATTTGTAATTAATTAACAATCATTTGTTTTATTTTTACTTGAAGTGATACTTTAATGAAAACTAGAAAACTAAATTGTTTTCCTCTTCTGGGATGTCTTCGCATGTTAATTTATGTTGTGAAAATCTTTTCCGGTCCTGTTATTGGTCATTGTTTCGATATTATAAGATCATAAACTCATCGAGACTTAACGTGCAATTAATGAGAAAGAAAAATTGTGCCATGATCACTAGCAATAACTATACGTAGCAGCTGATTGCTGAAGCTAAGTTAAAGCAACGAATGTCAACCTGCTCATCGTTGCTAATTTATTACTTTAACATGTCGTCGACGATATAAAGTATATCACTATTTTGATAGCATGTTATTTAAAAACATGATTGCAATCAATATTAGATAGATAGAAAGTAAACTTTATTCTGGGACAAAGTCCCTTATGAATAACAGATATGAACAAAAAAATAAAAACTACATCTGGCCAAAAATTACATTAATCAATATTAAAGAATATACACAGTATCTTCAGTGAAGTTAAATTAAAACAAGTAAAAATAAAATAAAATTTTGAGAAAAAACGAAATAAAAAAAAAACATTATTTAAATGAAAAAAAAAAATAATAAAATAAAATAAGCATGGGTTGATTTTTAAAATTAAGACTCAATAAATTTTATCAACCATTCACCTCAGTCAAAATCTGTTTCACAATATTTATTTTATTGTATAACGTCATTTTGGGATGTGAGAAGGAATTGGTAGAGATGATATTTAAATGAGGACAAGGAGGAGGCATGGCGGATTTCAGATGGCAAGGAATTCCAGAAGGCTGTGGATCGAGAAATAAAGGAATATTCAAACGTCTTAGTTCTATGGGAAGGGATATAAAGGTCGGAAACACGGGATCTTGTTTTCTGGGAGTGGACCACGGGTTTAAACTGTAGGAGACTGTAGATGTAAGAAGGGTGTCTGGTGTTGATTGTTTGGAATAGGAAAGATCCGAGGAAATATTGTCTGCGGAAAGAAGGGAAGAGCCACTTTAACTCGTCGTAAAAGTGGGACACATGAGATCGCCTTGATGTACAGAAGACAAATCTTAAGCACGTATTCATGAGTCGCTTCAATCTATCCTCGAGTACCATCGGGATGCCTCCGAACATCACACAGCCGTATTCAAAGTTGGGGGAAAATGAGAGAGGATACAAGGAGCTTGCGGATGGGTTGTGGGAGTAGTTGGCGGGAGCGGGGGCGGGGTGGCCAGATAGGCTAAAGCGTGTGTAACAGCACCGCTAGTTGCCTGGCAACCGGATAACAGAGATTTGAGATGATATAAAAAGTACGAGTTCGCGCCCGGTGTCGGAGGGGATTTTAAATTTCCCCGCCCTCACCCCCCGGCCCAGGAAATCCCGTATAGCCTAAAAGGCGAGGTAGGGAAGAACAAAAAAAAAAAAAAAACCTATTGACTTACGGGAGATGAGGGCGATATGGGGTTTCCAGGAGAGGTCTTCGTCTATGGTGATTCCTAGGTTTTTAACGGATGAACTGAATGTGACAGGATGATCGTTGATGACTAAAGGAGGAAGGATGGAGATGGATTTAAGAACAGGACTGGAACCTATAATAATGGCCTGAGTTTTCATCGCATTTAGATTTAAATTATTCAGACTTGCCCAGTCACTGATCCTATCTAGGTCTGCCTGAATATTGGCAAACCCGACTAGTAGCTCAGAAGGATGAAAGGAATAATATATTTGGGTGTCATCAGCGTATAAATGATGTGAACAGTGGTGGATGGATTTGGAAAGATCATTTGTGTAGGAATTGAAAAGAAGAGGGGAAATGCTAGAACCCTGGGCCACTCCAGAGGACAGAAAAGAAGATAGAGGTTGGTTTGGAATGCTGACTGCTTGAGTTCTGTCGGATAGGAAAGACTGCAACCAGAGGATAGAGCTGTTGGAGAAGGATAGAGATTTTAATTTAGTATAGAGTATAGAGTGGTCTAAGGAGTCAAAAGCTTTGGAAAAGTCTAGAAGTATTAACACAGTTAACATTTTTTCGTCCATTGCGGTATGTAAGTCATTGGTAATTTTTAGTAGGGCGGATTGTGTGGAGAAGCCAGGTCGGAAACCTGATTGGAGAGGATCGAGTAGTTTTGAGTTTTCAAGGAATTTAGAGATTTGGGATTGAGCTATTCTTTCCAGAGGTTTAGAAAGGTTAGAAAGAATGGAGATTGGGCGGTAGTCTTTAGGAGAGGTAGGATTGGGAATTTTGTTGATAGGTCTGACTAATGCTTTTTTCCAAGCAGTTGGAAAAACTGAGTTCTGGAGGGAAAAATTATAGATGAAAAGGAGAACTGGAACGACTTCGGGAAGGCATAATTTTAACAGTTTGACTGGTATCCCATCAAGTCCGATGGAGTTTGTGTGTGATTTCATTATAGAGGAAATAAGGTCGGTCGGTGAAATGTTGGAGAAATAGAAATTATCACTGTTAAATGAGGGTGATAAGGAAAACTGGTGAGAGATGGGTGAACTGTTGCTGGTGGTGGAAAATATAAAGTAGGATTAATTAATGTACCGAATAAAAATGTGGTGCGCATCACACAACATTCATTTACCTGTATACTTCGGGTCACTAGGATTTAATCGGGTCACAGGATCCAGGATTTAATTTTGAGGGGCTTCAGCCCGAAAGATTTTTTTTTTCATATACATAACGATAATTAATTGAAAAAAAATTTAATTACTAACTACCTATATGAAATAGTGTTTAAGTGATTCTTGAAGTCCTAGTAAATGTAATTACACGAACAGTAATACTTATTTTTTTATATTTTTTCCATAAAAGAAGGTTACATTTTATCATATTTTTGAGGGGGGGAGGAGGACTTCAGCCCGAAAGCCCCCTCCGTAGATCCGCCTGTGCCTCGAGTAGAAATAAATATTTTCATATCTAGGAAAGTGGGAGTAACAATGATAGACGGTATAAAATATTCATTTAAAACAATTAATGAAGTCTCAGGCTCATTTCTATCCCCATATTTCTATATCAATCTCTATCTATTTGGTTATCATTTGCTGGGAAGTGATGTTATCTGCGTATAAGGCGTTATACATTTATAGAGAAAGTGTAAATTAGTTCAATTTTATTTGACGTGTTTGGAATCGTTTATTTCAGAAACAACTCATGTGTTTTTTTTTTTGGAGGGGGGGGAGGATCCTCTCCTTCCTCGCCTTTAAGGCGACACGGGGTTTTCCTCAGCCAGAGGGTGTGGGTGGGGATTTAAAAGACTCCCTCGGCACCGGGACGCGAACTCATGAATATTTTTATATCATTTGATTGATATATCAGGTTGCCGGTCAACGGCGGTGCTGTGCACACACTTCCTACAGCCCACACGACTCATGTGGTTTTTCCACGATTTATTTATAAACACAGAGCGAATTTTAAAATATGAAAATTTACAACAAATATATGCTGTAAACAAGGGGTTCGCAAATCGTATTGTAATCGTATGCCACAAGTGCCGTGGCAATAATATTTAATTTCAATATTTATGATCGAAATTGTCAAGGTGATGAATAGTTATTCTAAAAATACACTAATATATATCCATCAGTAACAGAATTAAAATATATAAACCAAATTTAAAGTTATAATTTCAAACTCAATTTTCTCGGTTTGGAATATTTTCAAAAACGCTACTTTGGCATTTCACTTTAGATGTGTGATTCTATTTATTCTTAGCCGATAATAAATTTAAAAATATTTTTCAGTAATTTGGAAGACGATTCGTGGTTCGATGTTGGACCGGAGATGCCCAATAGTACCTACTATTTTTCTCTATGTCCTAAAGTACAATCTAAATGTCCTGACAATGGTTTTTTCTGTTTAAAATTGAACGGGACTATTTTAGATCTTGCCTCCACCTTTGTTGGTAAGAATTTTATTTATTTTTCTATTTTCATATATAAATATACATATACTTTTTATTCTATTGATTTTTATCATATTTTAGGAACATCTGAGGTGATGGATGGTAGCAATATATATCATTATATGTTATTGAATGGTAAACACGGAAGCGGCAAGGTGAACATACAGTGCGATGAAAGTGTAGGTTCTTTTTTTGTCTTATTTGTTTACAATAATTTATTAAGCCCAATTATTGCTACTATTTCTTTGAAAGATGACTGTGCTCGATTTCTAATTCTATCTCAATCAATTATTCAACTTTACTTTCTAGTTTTCAAACAGTTGTAAGTTTCAATAATTACAAATTAAAAAAAAATACATTAATAATGAATGTTATAATGAAAAATCAGGTACACAAATTTCACTTTTCACTCTACTTTGAGTATAAATAGGTATTTTTATAAGTAAAAAGTAAGGAAATGAAAGTAAAAATTATAGACGGTTTAACATATTCATTTAAAACAATTTAAAATATTAAATTAAAAAAATGATTACTTTTTCTATTTATTTCTATTGTAAGCTTTATCCAAGACATCACCTTTAAGTTTAAAATAATATTCAATATTAATAGTTAAATTAACAATTAATAACAATAGAAAATACTTTCGTGAGTAGTTTAAGTAGAGGAGGATCGGAAAAAGTCGGGCGCCTTCGGTTGTTTCCGATTTAACAGTTTTCATCTCTAACTTATTCTTTAGTTAATTATCAAATTCGTTCATAGTTAAGATTTATCTATGTGAAATGAATAATTTATATATGAAATGTATCTGGTATCTTGGTGATACGATGAATTCGCATCTTAATATAAATTTTATTCATATTTATTACGTTTTGTTTTTACTAAACCTTATTTGTTTCCTATTAAATGATCATTTGGTGTCTTGATATGTTATGTTGACTGTCGTACAGATTTTTTGGTGAATCGTTTTCTGTTATTACGAATTCTTATTGTGCATTGTATGGTAAAAAAGATAATGTTACTGATAATTAATGTGTACTCCTACCAAACAATCGCACACAAACATGTCATGAAAATAAAATTTTAATTAAGAATATATTTATTTACTAAGGTTAAAAATATCGAGACCAGATATTTCGAAATATTGATATATTGTTTCTGTATACCGACTTACTTTTTCGATATTTTGGGCTACTATCAATACCTTATATTATGATATATTTTTTAAATATTTATATCCCTTGTGTACTATAAAGTTGAATACTGTAAAATATCAACTGCTGTAGATATCATAGTCCAGTCAATGAGTACTCAAAAAGGGGATATAGAAGAAAATGGAAAGAACGCAATTTTTGACTTTCGGACTATGTTGGAACTAATTAGGAGATAAACATTCTAAAAGTCCCCAATCCTCGGAGGTGAGTACTGTTATTGCAGCTCCAGTTCTCTCCCGTATGCAAAGCAATAAATGACGATATGTGACGAAATACTTCAAGAATTATTATTTGTTCTACAAGTTCTCTGTTTATAATAGTGTAAAAATCGCAGGAGAAAAAAAATGTTTCGAAATCAGCAGTTATTGAACAGGGACATCTCGGAAATCATACAAGAAAGCGTAAAAATGAATATTGTCAATATTTTTGCACATTTCATCAGCTGTATTTAGTATAGGATGTTTTTATCTCTATTGTGTATGGTTACCCTGTTTTAAGCGAAAACCTGAAACAAGTATCTGGGTAGACATGGGAATTTCGATTCTTTTAACTGAATCGTTTCGCAATGATTCATTCATTGTTGTGAATCAATTATCGATTGATTCTATTCATCTTCTTTTTTTTCTTTAAATTAAAAAAGGGGTTTTTATTGAAAAAAAACATTCTCAAACCCGATAGTTGTTAAGGCAAAAACATTTTTTGGTACTTGTATAATAGTGGGTAGCGTCGGACTGCTATCTGCCAATGTTTATAACCTTAACACTGATAACTCTAATAAGCCACTGATAATATCTTCGTATTCATATTTATTGTATTATATTCATATTATTATATCTTCGTGTTCGTATTTATTGTATTGTATTGATATTATTGAAATTGGGAACAAAAATAAAAACGAATGTAATAATAAAAAAATACTTTTACTTTACAAGATATATATTAAATAGAGCAAAACATTATACATATGTTATTAAAAACATTGAAAAATATAAATAAAAATAAATGAAACAATAAAAATAGGCAAACAATACACAAAAATAAATGAATTAATAAAAAACCACTTAAACACCATATGTACACATATGAATTTTAATGCCGTTAAAAAAGAAATCCTCGACCCCTCTAACCACGTTCATTTCCTTATAGATACGGTTTTGTTACAACTACGAAGGCATCTCCATCTAATCTTTCCGTCGAACTTTATTTGATGACCTTAATCACAATATTTCACCTTTGCAAATATCCCGGCGTCTTGACAATGTTTGTTAGCCTCTTCTGAAGACTGCAATTCCCACAATGTGACAACATCCATAATTGAATAACTTAAGATAGAAGAGATAAGGGAGGTAATGTGAAATAAGATTAGATAAGAAGATAGGTTTTGATGCTACCTGCCATTATACAAGTACCCATATTTTTTCTTAGGTAATTGAAATTTAAAATCCTGGTTCTAATGTATACGAATTTAATGTTATGTGTCTTATATGTAAGGAGGAAGTGTATCTTATAATTAGAAAGGAAAAGTTTTTTAAATGTTGTATATTAGATTTTGGTATGTGTATGTAAGTAGTAAATGTATAGAAAAATATTTTTTTTTAACCTAGTACAACTAATTTTATAAAGGAAGGTTCCTTTAAAACAAATTATAAATACAAAATAAATACAGCATGACAGTGTGACCGTACATAAAATTAAATATTTAAATAATTACAGCTAATTAAAAATTAAAATGCAAGAGAAAAAATTAATAAATAAACAAAATAACAGCGTAAATAAGTATAGCTTATAAATGTCCGAAGTGAGAAAGAATCATCGAAGAGATCATGATTTCAAAAGTAAACAAAACAATCTAGCAAACAATTGAATATGACTGGAAGATTTCCTAGAACATAGCCGGTAAGCAAGCATCAGTGAAGAACTGAGAGAGCGTCATAATGAATTAACCGATCCTGATATCGTGTGAATCACTTCAGAGTACGATTCTTTCTCGATTCATCTGCCCATCTCTACTTCTGGGTTATCCACCTCATATTCGTCTCACCTCCAAGGATTGGAGACTTCTAATATGTTTACTTCTTAACTAGTTCAAACAAAGTCCCCAAAGTTAAAAATTGTGTTTCTTCCCATAATCATTCATTGACTGGACTATTGGTTCAACCTCGACAGATGAATGGAGCGCGGACTCCTTAATAGAGAGTACAAAATAAAATTTATTTATGTTATTAATTTATTCATTTATTGTTAGCGCATGGATCCTGTTGTTACGTCATTGTCATATCCTCCAACTTTCAAAGATGGACATCCATATTTTGACTATTTGATCTCGTGGCGTTCAAGTTCCAACTGCCCATTGAAGCATTTCAGTGTGAAGAACAATTGCATTTTATATACTCACCCTCGAAGGTAAACTTGATTTTTTTCATAAATTATGAAATTTAATGTTGGTATTTCAAGCATTTTTTTTTTAAATAATTATTTTCTTTAGTTATGATTTGAGACCATTGCGGAAAACTCATCAAGTGAAAGTAGCCGATAAAGATTATATCATTAACATTTGTGAAATTCTGAGTTCAAACTGCTCCTCATTCGTTTGTGAAGTTGACAATAGCGTGGTTGCGAAACCTCTCAGCAATGCCTTCGAGCTTAGTTATGTGGAACACAAAGGGCTCAGCTTTAGTTATCCAACGCTAACAGGTAAGTGTTTTGTTTTATTATAAACCAAATAAAAATGTGTAAATAACAATGCTTGGGTTTTGCATGTATGCAATTTCTCCTTTGCATGTATGCAATTTCTCCTTTGCAGTTATGGTGTAGTGACAAATAACGATGAAAAGAATATTTGGAAAAAAAAATCTGGTACGAAAAAAATTGAGAAGAGTAAGGCAGACCCCTCCCAAGTTAGGTTGTGTATCTGAATCCGATATGAACATTGTGGATTGAGTGAGCATTGTTCTTGCTGTATTTTGTCTCCAGAAGTACGATTTGGTGTGTGTCTTCTTCACTCCAACACAAGTTGGTGTGTTCTAACACGATTTAGTATTTTTTATTCTTATTGAATCTAATCTCCAAAACAATTTAGTGTGTTCGCTGTTGTTTCTTGTTTCTAACACGATTTAGTGTTTTTTGATATGCTGTATCTTGTTTTTTACACCATTTTGTTTCCAGAATTGCGATTTGGTGTGTGTTCTTGTTGCATCTTGTGTGCTAAATTACGATTTGGGTGTGTTCTTGTTGCATCTTTTGTGCTAAATTACAATTTGGAGTTTTTTCTTGCTGCATCTTGTCAGCAGAATTACGTTTTGGTATTTGTTCTTGTTACATGTTGTCTCCGGAATTATGATCTGGTATTTTTTCTTGCTGCATCTTGTTAGCAGAATTACGATTTGGTGTGTGTTCTTGTTGCATGTTGTCTCCGGAATTATGATTTGGTGTGTGTTCTTGTTGCATGTTGTCGCCGGAATTATGATTTGGTGTTTTTTTTTTTTTTTTGCTGCATCTTGTCTTTGACAAGATTTGGTGTGTTTCTTTTAGCTGAATATTGTTTCTGACACAAGCTTGTCTGTAACACGAATTAGTGTTTTTTTTTTTAATGCTGCATCTTAATTTTAAACACGATTTGGTTTATTTGCTCTAGTTGAATCCAGTCTCAAAAACAATTTAGTGTGTTCTTGTTGCGTCTTTTCTCCAACACTATTTGTTTTTTGTTTTTCTTCCTTTATATTGTCTTCAGCATGATTTTATGTGTGAGAAAAGAAGCAGTTAGTACAAAATAACTGCTTCTTTTCTCACACACTATTTGATGTGTTTCATCTCCCATCGTGAGTCACCACGAACTCGAATTATATTTTTCCTAGCTCTACTTTGAGACAACACTTTTGCTGATAAAAGAATTTATAATAACTATAATAATTACGATGATGAAATAATTGAATGTCCTCTTTCAACACTATAACCAATGTTCATATTGTGACAGAATGTTATATTATAAAACAGGTAAATAAAAGAAAAAAATCTCATCATTATAGTCCCTTTTTCTAGTATAATACTATTACATGCTATGACTTGAAATGTTATTATTTAATCCATTTTGTTTCAAATTGTTTTTAAACTAAAGTTATTTCAGATTTTAAAATTGATTTATCTGTAGAAAAAATAATTTATTAGGTTCCTTATTCCTTCCTACTTGTCACGTTTGTGGCCGGAATTCGTTACGATAAGCCCCTTCTGGGAACTGCGGCATCTTGAAAGTGAGATAATATCTTACGTATAAGATTTTCGATGATAAATATGGAACCGGTAAGATAACTTCAACGGTTATGATAACGGATTATTCATGAGTCATGATACCAAAGATAAAGTATTTGTTTATATTTACATTTTGATTAAGGAGTTGGTAATATCTTCTGCTGCTTCACTTACAAATGAAATGTTTTCAGAGTGGTGATTTAATAGTCCGTGGTACAGACCGATTTTTATCCGATTATTAACATCCACCTGAAACTTTGTAAATAGTTTAATCTCATCGTAACCTACAACTATTTTATTTACGAAAACTCTCGGAATTGGGGCTTTTTCAATCTGGAGGGGACCAAACTTTGTCTATTTAATTAGGTACTAAAAACTCGTAAATACTTGTTTTCTACTTCGATCGTATGATAGTTTGATCACAAAATCGAGAAAAAAGGTGCCCTTCAAAAATATTGAGCCGTTTGGCATGACCTACTCCCCAAATTTTCAAAATAACGAGGTTATATAGGACAAACTGCGCAATATTTTTGTATATTCATCACAGCCAAATATCTAAAAAGTAATAGATATTAATCTGAAGGGGCTGGACTTCTGGTCTCCCACCTCAGAAACTTACCCCGCAAAGCGAGAATAAAGAATGGAAATAATAATAATACCTATTATTACAGAATACCTAAAAAGAAATGACGATGTTGCCAAAGTCTATCACCAGGCGATTGGTCTAAAAATTAAATTATTAAACGACTCGATGCCCTACTATAAATATTGCCCTAAAAGTATTTGCCAGAAAGATGGCTTGAAAAAGCCTTTTTTTTTATCGATTTTGTCTTCATATTATCTTACGACCCAAGTTTTTAGTACCTAATTAAATAGACAAAGTTTGCTCCCCTCCAGATTGAAAACGCCCCGATTCCAAGAGTTTAATAATAATAATAATAATAATACCTATTATTACAGAATACCTAAAAAGACATAACGATGTTGCCAAAGTCTATCACCAGGCGATTGGTCTAAAAATTAAATTATTAAACGACTCGATGCCCTACTATAAACATTGCCCTAAAAGTATTTGCCAGAAAGATGGCTTAAAATTATATTGGAAACAATCGTTTATAACAGACCATCGTGATCCGCAACAGACCTGATGTGTTAATTGACGGCAACATTAAGGTGGCTGAAATTATAGATATTGCTGTGCCAAATGACGGAAACATTAACTCAGTCTGTGCAGAAAAAATTCGGAAATATCAAGGTCTAGCAGCTGAGTTAAAAAGTTTGTATAAACTTAATAAAGTAACCGTTAGGGGCATTGTGATCTCCAGCAATGGCCTGGTACCGGTGTCTACTGTGGAAGCTACTGACAGGCTGGGCCTCCCAACTCATGTAATAAAGGAAGCTCAGAAAGCGGTGCTGCTGAATACTGCCAGAATTGTAAGAAGCTTTCTCAACATTCAATAGAAATTAAAATTGAACATGCCTGAGGTGGTTGGAGTTGATTCTCCCCCTCTCAAGTAAACAAAAAAAAAAAAACCTTTTGTAAAAGTGTTGACAAATAAAATAATAATAGAGTTCATAGTCGATAATAATAATAATAAAAGGCTTAGCGAACCCGAAGGTTCGATGCCGAAACTACCAATAGCTTATTACACACCTCTCTCCACCGTTCGCCGTCCAAACCCAGTCCCTTCAGATCGGCTTTAATGCAATCTTCCCACCTTCGCTTCGGTCTACCCCTCGGACGCTTACCATTCGGCACAGAAAATATTAACCTTTTTGGGAATTCTCTCGTTACTAAGCCCAACAACTTTACAAGCCCATTTGATTCGCCTCGATGAAATTACCTCAATTATATTACCCGGATACAGTTCACGCAATTCGGCGTTGTGTAACCGTCTGAACTCTCCGGTTAACTCATCCTTCTTCGGTCCGAATATTCTACGCAATACTTTATTTTCAAAAACCTTAAGACGCTGCTCATCCCTTAATGTAAGCGGCCAAGTTTAGCACCCATAAAGAACTGTAGGCAAGAAAATTGTTTTATAGATTCTAATTTTTAAGTTTCGGGACAAGAGGCGCGAACTAAGTAGTTTTGTCATAGAAAAATAACAAGCATTTCCCGCCTTCAGTCTAACCTTAATTTCTTCTTCAATTTCGTTTTTTCGAGTTATTGTAGAATCTAAATACCTAAACTTATCTACCTGTTCAAACATATTACCATCTATATCGATATCACCAGTAGTATCGCCATTTTTGCAGCTAACCATATATTTTGTTTTATCCACGTTTATTTCGAGTCCTAGTTCTTTACCGGCTTTCATTAGCGTTGTTGTATTTAGTTTTATAGTTTCAAGGTCTTCGCTTAACAGTACCAGATCATCCGCATAGCCCAGCACGGAATTTGTCCCACCCAGATCCAACCCTTTCTCGGTACGCATTACCTCCCTAATGGCATGTTCTAATGCCAAATTGAACAGGACCGGCGAAAGGGAATCCCCCTGTTTTAAACCCGAACGAACCTCAAATTTTTCGGACAGATTATTACCGATTCTAACTTTATTCAGTGTCTCCGTGAAGCACATCCTGACTAGATTTACTATTTTTTAGGAATCCCCTGCTCGATTAGAATATTATACAGTTTCTGGCGGTCAATAGAATCGTAAGCCTTTTTAAAATCTATATACAGCTCGTGAACAATACCGTTGTACTCCAATTTTTTCTCTAATATTTGCCATAAAGAAAATATTTGATCAATAGTCGAGCGATTCCGTCTAAATCCGCATTGGTAGTCTCCGATAATTTCCTCGGAGTATTCCGTGATTCGACTGGTTAAGATTAAAGTGAATATTTTATAACATACCGGAAGGAGTGAAATTCCTCGATAGTTATTAGAATCCGTCCTCGGACCCTTTTTGTGAATCGGAATAAGAATAGATTCTTTCCATTCTTCAGGTAATTTCTCGTTCACCCAGATTTTTTTAACCAACCGATGTATTTTAGAAACTCCAGCTTCCCAGCATGCCTTAATTAGTTCAGTAGGAATATTATCGATTCCCGCTGCTATATAAGATTTTAATTTTCCGATAGCTACTTCAACTTCCTCTTTACTTGGTCCTTCTATTAACGGTTCAGCACTCTGGTACTCAGAAGGAGGACACAGATCATAATTTCCCGTATTTAAAATATTGAGCAACAATAAAAACAAATAGAAGCAACAACAAAAACAAATAAATAAATAAAATTAAAATTAAATAAAAAGAGAGATCATACAAAGCGGAAATACTTAGAATAGTAATCAATTGAATTGAATTAATCAATACAAATTGAAAGTAGATAAAAATAATAAGATGTAACATATAAGTTATTTTTTCACTTATAAGATTTAAAATGTGTCTATATGTTAAAGAAGTGCAGTTTTTATCTCCTTTATGATTAACAGGACTCTGTTC